TTAAAATAAAAAAATAATAATAATAATAGTAAATGACATATATTTATATATATCGCTCAGACCCGATTTAGGTACACAAGGTCTGATATTACGTCATCCTATCTCAGACAGATCTTATTATCTCAATAAAGGTGGCGTCGGTAGTTTAGTGGTTAGGCCACCGGACTCGTAATCGTGAGATTGCGAGTTCGGGGGTTCGAGCCTCAGCTCGGTCCGACGTTGTGTCCTTGGGAAAGGCACTTTACATGAATTTCCCACTTGGCTCAGCCCTACGGGGAGACGGACGTTAAACTAAGAGGTCCCGCCCTTTAAATAACCTAATAGTGTTGATAGGGGCGTTAAAACCATACCATTTCACCTTTCAAAAAAATCTTAGTAAGGAAAACGCTTGGTTAAAAATCCGGAAGAGCCTGGTTCGAATCTGTAGCGGGATGTTCGTGGACGTGTGTTGTCCAGAAAGTTTTCAGGTCTTTCCTCCCAAAGGGACCTGGCTTAATGGGTCTATCCGAGAAAGATGCAGCATTGCAGGTCCCGTCTTTTATATGGACTTGAAGTACTGAAAGTGGCGGTAAATGGCCACTGTACTGATCTGTCCCCGTGGTTTTATGCACTCCGCATAATTTAGCAAAATTTGATCTTTTTTTTGTGCATAATTTCTGATTCTTTTTCTTAATCATTCTTTGTTGAAATTAACAGAATTGGATAATTTCACATTTTAGGGCTCAGTTTGTATAATTTCCTAAATTTTTTTGCATAAAACCCGCAGGGATAGACTAATTTTGGTCCTCTATCGTTTGAGGGCAAGCGAGGCAGGGGTAGGCCCAGAACAACATGCGTAAGGAACCTAAACAAATGGGTAACGGGGAAAGATCAGGGAAACGTAGTTTTTTTTAGAGCATCCGAGCAAAGGAATGAATGGAAAACCATGATCGCCGATATCTGTCGCAGATCTGGCACTGGATGATGATGATGATGATCTTTCCTGTATGTCTCCAGTCTATGACCTCAGAGTCAGAAGAACTTGCATCTATCCACAGCCTTGAACACTCAGACCAGGGTGAAGGTCAGTGAGTCACGATGGCGTCCTGGAAACTGTGTACCTTTCTTTTGGCGTCCGTTCTGTTTGTTCTAGGTGAGTTCATTGTTGTCTTAGTAATAATAATAATAATGATAATAATAATAATAAAAGTA